GCGCAACGAGAACCGCGCCATTGTTATATAGTATTTTATATACACAACTTCAAATTTAGTTTAATTAATATAATTAAATATTAATAATAAATACAAAATAATAAATTAATTTAATAATGAAAATGAAATATAATAAAGTGCATTAATAAAAAGTATAACATTTGACGAAAATTTCGGAATAAATCTTTGAAACTATTACACCTATATTAAAACTTGCGTAATATGTTATTATTATCATACAAACGTGAAATGAAGAATCAAAATCAATTATTCTTACTTCACGCACTAATAACGAGCAGATACGAATTCGGTTCAGTAGAAGCAAGTGTATTAAAAACATTCCTTTTCTTACAACATTTCTGGCAATTATGGATAAGAACTAAATATGGATAGAAATGAATAAGTAACTAGTAGCGTAAAGCCTGAATTCTGTGAGATGATGATTGGTCAACTGTGAACGATATTTTATACTGGCCAATTTTGTTAGTCATTTTAACAAAATTCGTTGAAAAAATAAATGAAATATTATGAAAAAATCGAATTGAACTTTCAATGGAAGCCGCACTTAACGAACAGCCGCGTTTGCCCATCGTTGCTCAATAAAATCAGTTTGCAACCTTGAAATCGGAGGCTAGAAAACGTCGATGACTAGTTAGATCATCGACCGTACCAGAAGGAGAAGAGTTTCTCCGAATTTTTATAGACGGAAAGTTTGGAGTTGAGTGTGCTGTTCAAGGAAACGGAGAGGAAACTAAGCAACAATTGTCCGATAGTAAATCGACTTCGCGCGCAAGAGGATCGCGCAGCTTGAGCTTCATTGTCCGCAGTTTCTCCGGCTGTTCGGTCCGCAGTTATGAAGATGATCCTGATCTTTTTTTTTCGGCGGCAGGCCTCCAAGAGCAACAGGAAACGAAAGCGGGATAAAAAGAGGTGGAGATGGTACGAGAGAGAAAGACAGAATTTTGGCAGATTCGGTTGTTGTTCATCAGGTAGCTGGACCTGGTGGTAGAATTGTTCGACACCAGCAGGTGCTGGCCATCGGCATTCAAAGTAAAATATTGTTCTTACGTCCCCGTGGCGGCGCGTCGAAAACGCCCGGAGGATTTCACCGGTCTTTGCCTAGGGAGAACGACTATTTTTACGTCTCACGGACATCCATCCCTCTAAGCCTTCCATTCTTTCTGTGGAAACAGCCCGTTTTCCACTACCTGTTAACATCACTGGCCTTGCTGGTACTGAGAAAACCGCCGCCCGAATGGTCACCACCAGTCGTCCCCGGGGTCTCTCTCAGTTTTTAAATAGACCGAGGTCCACGCGAAGCTGCACGTTCCACGATTCTACCTCTAATGAAAATAACGGCGCGTGACGTATGAACACATCAAATTAATTACAATAATTCCATAATATTCAGGTGGTAAATTATATATCATTTAAATTATCGCTGCACGCGTACTATAATTACCTTAATATTACGGTAGAGTGTCGATGTTTATGTAAATATCCAGTTCAGCGAACTATTTTGCATAACTCGATTCTAGCGGAAACGTCGACTGTTTTCTAAACAATTCAGCAGCGCGGTAAGTAAGAATAAACCTTCAATGGAAAAATGGAATTCGAACGAAACTAAACCGCTCGAACGTGGAACGGGACGACCGCCGCAGCTAAAACACAATGCTACTTGTTCGACTCTATTTCTTCTATACACCTAGTGGAAATAATGCTCGCCCGAAGAATTCCAATGCGAATTAAAAGAAACCGACGCATTTAGTCCGGACTGGAGCTCCTCGGTTCGGCTCGCATAACTCGCGGCCATAACTCGGTTTTCACACTTTCTCCGTGGTCAGTAACATTGGCAAGCAGCTTTCCATTCGTTCATCGAAGCAAGGTTCATTGTTCGAAAACGTGGAATCGGATCGCACGACCATAAGCGTCGCACAGTGGAGTAAAGTGACGAAGTTCTGTTAAAATCAAAGAATTTTTCATAGAGGCGGAACCCTTTATTTACGACATTGTCATAATTATTAACATCCCTATAGCGGTGCAAGAACTCCGCTCGGAATTACCAAGCAGTGCAGGAAATAATTTTCTTCACGAAATGGACAATATCAATATTGCAGTTTTTCATTAAATTATACTTTTGTTTATAAATATTATAATAAATACATCACACCAATTGTTCCGTACATGTTTGAGTGTCCCAAAGTTATTGCGCGAGCGGGAAATGAGGGATTCCTGAGGTCATTTTAAGCAATTTTTTCCTTACCGAAAATGCAATCCGTGTCTTTGTTTATAAGTTATTATCTAAAAACAGTGACCAATGAAAGCTGAGCGCGGGATCTGCATGGTGGTTGAGCCAGCGACGGAAGGAGGGGACTACGCCCAGGCTCCGTGCCCCGTTCGAGGCAATGAACAAGCCTCGGAGCGTGAACTTTCCGATTTTTTTAACCACGTGGCAATAATCATTTTAAGAAAAATGCTGTTCATCCTTATTTTAGAATGTCTCAAGAACATTCAGTAATTTTTCGGACCTGAAATAATAAGTAGTTTAACTGGAACAGCCGACGGTAACGAATAGAAGAACGTCTCCGAGCAAGCTATTCTAACGTTCACTTTCATTGCACTATCACTAAACACTGATCACTTATTCGATAATAATGTCGGACGAACTTTTTCTATGAGACGCGTTCCAAGTTCACACCGTTAAAAACGCGCAACGCGTTTACTCCAAGGATGCTGCAAAGGGTTCAGGGGAACGTTACGAAATGTGTCAACGAGGCACGCACTTCGGTGCGAACTTCGTACGTGTCTCATAGAAATATCGGCACTTTCTAGAGCCACACATATTAAACCAGGAAAGTTCGTCTGGAATTATTATCGAACACGTGATCAGTGTTTAATGATAGTGTAATGAAAATGAAGTAGCCTGCTCGGAGACATCCTTCTGTTCATCATTGTCGCATGCAGATCAGCTGTGCAATCCATCGTACATTGTACGAGGTCAATGCACTCTTCCTGCACATAATTTCGAGCAAGAAGTGGATTTTCAACTTATTAATAATATTTTTCGCATTTCTCAAACAAACAAATCCATTACGTCCTTTAACGAGGTTATTTATCAATAAAATAGCTTTGAGAATTATTTGTCGAATTCTGTTCGGACACGGAATTATTTAAATTAAAATATCATTTACGTACTTCGACGGAGTTACTCTTATTGTTAATTTCACTGTACGCGCCGCATACAAATTTCACATGGTAAACACGAGATGTCATGCACACCAGAAAGTTAAAACGGCTGTTACGGTTAAACTACTTATTTTTTCGGGTCCGAAAAATTACTAAATATTCTTGAGATATTCTAAAATAAGAATGAACAGCGTTTTTCTTAAAATTTTGGAAGTTCGCGCTCTGAGACTCGTTTATTGCTTCGAACGAGTCACAGAGCCTGAGCGTAGATCCCCTCTTCTGTCGCGGCCAGGGGCGGAGCCAAGTTCCGCTCGCTGGCCAACCACGTCGCAATTTCCCCTCTCGCCTCTCATTGGTAACTGTTTACGATAGTAACTCGTAAACGAAACAGCGGATTACAATTTCGCTAAGGAAAAAGTTACTTCAAATGACCTCAGGAACTCCTCCATTATAATAAATAAATATATATATATTATATTTATATATGTATATTATTAATTAATTTCATAAATATTAACATATTTATATGTTGTTACTAATTCGTTGTTCATTTGTTGTTAATTGGTTTATCGCTTAGTTATTCAATACATGTAACTTTCAGTTATATTTTTGTTTATAAATGTTAAAAAATAGACTCTGCAACTTATTGTATGTTCATAAGTACACACATGTAATGTTTTAATTACCTGAAATATCAGAAAGTTGGGTAAAGATATACGATACCAGGCAGAAAATCTTTCTTACCGCGTTTTCGGGGTAAATAGCCCACTTCGCGTCGGCGCGCGCGCTCGCGTTAGCCGTGAGAAAAACGCGCGCACGTGAATGAACAGTTAGGGCTAATTGGTGGCGAGGATGAAGAACGAGATGAGGTGGGAGAGAAGAAAGATTCGGACGGAGAAGAGAAGAGAGCGACGGCGGAATGTGCGGCCGACAGGATGCGCGAATGTTGTTTAAAGTCTAGACACAATGTAGGACCCCCGAATTAGTGGGCTCGCTGCGCTGCGGTGCTTCTACGGTAATTAACAAAATTAGCCGCAATTAGAGAGTGCTCGGTGGACCGGCGCGCGGACCGGCGTGTCCCTTTTTCCTTTCTCTCGGGTTTGGTCGGCGAACGGTCAGACGATTGGAGCCACGACCACAGTGGGACGGGAGACGCCCTCGAGTGGCGCGTTTACGCCAAGCCTTAATGACTAACCACATCGGTCGAAAAAGTATCTAAGCACGAAACTATGGGGAATCGGGCATGATCGGGCTGTGATTACCATCTCTTGGCTCGAGGGCCACGGCGGGGGTGCGGGGAAAAACCAGCGCCATTTTACTCGGCCGATTGAACGTTCCGTTCCGTACTGATCCTCGTCCCGTGTCTGTTTGTAGACGACTGACTGATTGGATCGTCTAGTTATCGGATTTGATGAGATCATTCTTGCGGCATGATCAGCATCGTAAACGTCGTCGCACGGCAAACAGTAATATATTTCGGTGGCATTGTGAGGAATGTACCGATAAAATACGATATGTAATTCCGTTTATACGACTGCGCTTCGCGTTGCGACCGGCCAACGTTAATTCGCGTTTTTGACCGGGAACGTGATAAATTTTCTGGACAACTTTACCGGCACCCGGACACCGAGAATGCCCGCCAGGGGCAGTGCATTTAGGGAAAGAGGGTACGCAAGGAGTGGAGGCAGGCGACGCATGCGCGGGTGTCTATAAGTCCCCACTCAGTGGCGTGGGGCATCTACCTAAACGCTTGTTCGTCCCTTGTCTGTCGGACTTATTCAATTTTTGGTGGGTGCTTGTGTCGTGTTCTTCTCAAGAAGTGCCATCCTTCGTTTTCACCGGACCAGAACTTAGTCGTCAATAGTGGGAAATTCTAAGTAAATCCTTGTTAATTTTTGATTATCAAGGTAAGTTATAGCAATTGTTAGCATTTATGTAAATAAGCGAATTTTACGTTATCTATGTCAGACTTTATACGTTGTTTGAGATCTCGTAATTTCTGTGCAGATTAATTTTATGATAACAATTGTAGGACATATTTTTGTTAAATTGTTCCATATTTTATATGGAAGGGTCCATCATTTTTAAGGTACTTTTTTAAAATGTTGTTCAATCTTTTACAGAATACTTTTATAATCACTTTGCAGTATTTATCTTAAACAATGTTTCCTTAAAATTTAATAAAAATATAGCAAGATTTGTAAACGTTGCATCCGATGTACTCTGAAGGCTTCGAAAAATATAGACAAAACAGGTGAATTTAAAAATGTAATCCTATATCATCAATTAAGCATAGAGGGTTTTCAATAACTCGATTTTTTATAGAGCGGTGATGTTTCGAAGGTACAAAAGACACGATATGGCTGTGAAAGAGGCTGCGTCATAAACAACAAGAACATAAGGTAAGCAGGGAGACAAACATTTGCATGTAATAAAAATTCGGCATTTCATATGCACCAGCGTAATAATTAAGACCGGAGCAGTTGTAATTAATACAGTTGCGAAATAAACGTGCGAGAAGTTAAGAAAACATCGTGACAATAAAAGTGATACTATGGTAGCAAACGCGTGGAACAGTTCAATGTTCTAGAAGCGATCTTCTAAACTCCAGCTGGCCGATAGCGTATCAATAACGATCGTCGTGGATCGCAGTGGCAATGGATTCCAGGATCAAGGACGCGGGGACAGGTTCCAACAACCTGCTAACCATGAGGCGCATCGTCAAGTGACACCAGTCACTGGTCAGTTCCATAACTGTGCACCACTAGGAAGGCATAAAGAAGCGTGGACAAAGTGTAGAGAGTGGGATAACCGAGAGCGGAGGGTCCGACGACCCCCAGTAGGATATTCGATGAACGCGCAACACCTGCGTTTTCGGAGATGACCATGAACACCCCAAAAACTCTGGGTGAAACTGACAGGACAATATACCACCCGCCACCGGCTGACCATTGTCTGTCCAGGAATGGTCTACGGATGGTGTCGCAATGTCACATGCAGGGAAACACTGGATACAGCATTATTATTTGCAGGCGTGTAATCCTAATTCTGTTTTAACTGCCAGGGAGATAGATAGGCAGTATCTGCTCGGTCAGAGCCCAGTTATTTATTACCTTTGTTTACACTGGTCCATCCGCAATTAACACAGATCAGTCCCGTACCGGCTGGGACCGACCCTTCGATGGGCGAACAACCTGTAACCTCCCGATGAAACACGCGCTAACAACCTCTTCGTGGCTCTATTGACTAATTGAACAGCTGAGAGGCTGCGAGAATTGTGTCCCAAACTTAAATATCTCTCGGACCTGTCTACAGGTTACTTTCAGTCGTCTCCTTGGACTATTTATTACCAACAACAGGAAAAATCTCTGCTCGATCAGTCACTCTGCGAGTTTATGTGTTTGTACTGTGGATCACCGTGTACGCCGTGTAGCTGAATTAATAGACGGACGAAAACGTTAGGACGACTGGATTTCTGGGTAATTGAACAATCAGTTTTTTCTAATGCTTAATATTATTCGTTTAGATTAAGACAACGATCACTGTGAATTTGTTTAAACATTTTCAAATCTGTGATACATTTTAGTAATTGTAAAAGAAGCGTAAAAGACACGCAAAACATTAACACTAAAACTACCGAGACATAAACACGACTAATGTGTATTGTTTTATAACTGGATTTATTTAAACTTCGCATGATTTAAATCATAACATATGCTTCAATAAAGAAGTGTACCTAAACATTTCTCCTGGATATATTTGTATAATATCAGGAACTGTAAAAGAAAAAGTTAAAAATTAGTCAATTTGACTGGTTTGATAGTTCTAGTGTTACACTATAACAATGAGTCAAATTGATGAGAAGATTTGTTTTAATTCGAAATAAAATTTGATTCTTCAATCATCAGAATTTAGAAAGGAAAGCAAAGAATGGTATAAAAGAATCAAAAGTTTATATTGTTCTATTAACCAGTTAGCTATTGCAATATTTTTGCAAAGTGTGCAAGTTACTGTATTTGTTTGATTGTCTTCATGTTAAGGACTCTAGTGGAATTGGTGGACTGTATGGTAAAAAAGACGCTGGTGTAGTAAAACTAAATATATTTTAACAAAAGAATGATGGAATGTGATGATGTATCGCGAAGCTGACGAATGATACGATCAAGCGATCGATTTATGGCTATACAGCTGTAGCTAGGTTTGCAAGCGCAATAGAATTACCAAGCATAATTATAAAAAGTTCAATCGACAAAAGACTCGCCGCGATCGAATTAAACGGGTCTATTTATTATCGTGGGCCATCGATTAGGAGAGGTAGAGGAGTGAGGAATTTGAAAATTGAAGGGACTAAGCAGCGCTGACATTCGTGACAGTTGCATAGGTTCAATACACTAACGAACAGCGGTGTGTGGGAACCAAGGAAATTTGGTAACGGATTTGATATTGGGATTGTTGGAAGGATGGCCCAGTCGACACACACATATTGACGATTGTATACAAGCTGGATCGTTCACCTCGGCCGGTGACGAGCTCGTTGAACAGCTGACATTGGCACGGAGCACAAAAACAGACTCCGCGCTGGTGTTTTTGTTCACCGACCTAGGTGATACCGGTAAATGCGATGCTAGTGCTCGATTTTTAATTTTAATTTTAGACACTTCATGTCTTGTTTAACTATAAAATGTATTGATATATTATTAAAATATATTAATATTTTATTTAAATATAAGATATATAATTTAATAAAGAATATCAAAGTATACATATATCCTTTTTAACCAGTTAACTGCGTTTGACGAATACATTCGTCACGAGGAAATGGCAATATACTGTGTTATGACGAGTATACTCGTCAAAAATTGCTAACTGGTTCAGAACGAAGAAGTTCTAATCAACGCAGTTATACAAGAAATCGTAGCATAAGTGGTTAAAATGCAGCTATGCATTTCTCGTGGACGTGACTCGTCTGGAGAAAATATTTCAACGAATTCAAAATTGAAAAAACTGGAGCTAAATTCGTAAAACGTTTTCCGAAAACGCTATTTTGCCATCGGCGAATATCCGGACTGTTTTGACAAACAGTTTTATGAGAGACACATACGTTTTGATAGCGAATGTAATGGACACCTCCCGAGTTCGTTCTGTCGGTGTTTCGTAGCGCTGGTGGCAAAGGAAAGGTAAAAGTCCAATCAGGTGTATAACGATATAATGCCGTAACGTGGTTGGAGCGTAAGATAATAATAGTTTATAAGAGCATGTGTGTATTTACAGCGTGCGGTAATCCTGTTTACGGATCGGGCACATAAACTGCAATAGTGCATGGTCGCATAGTGCGTACGTGTTCGCCGCGACCGCGACGTGTGAAGAAAAAATACTGAACGAAAATAAACGCATAAAGAATACGATGCAAAGATAAATTAGTCGTTTAATCGACTGGATAGAGGTGCATAACAGTTCTATAATTCAATAAGCATTAGACGTCGGTGGCGTACATAGGGTCGTGAAGGACCCATGTATTGTAAATATTTACAGTAAATATTTGACGATTGGTGTAACTTCCATATCTTGTGCATGTTATTAACCATTGGACGGCGGTCATTTTTGAGCATTTATGACAGTCACGGCTAGATCCGTTCGAATCGTTACGATTAATTTTTATTCGTATATTATTAAAACCTCTTTCTTTCATTCGTTTCAATATTAATAGTTAACGATTACAGATGACTGTCACAAAATTAGAATGTAGGTGGAATGTTTGTAAACTCTGGGTCCAAATAAATATTGTCCAATAAATATCGTTTCAGCGGTTCTGTGAATTATGGAAAAGCGAAGTTTGGCGAAAAGGTCGGTTAAGGACGGAACAGGTAGTTGCGAAAATGTGTGCATCTGTTGGCGAGCGTTGGAAGTAGTGTCACATTGGTATTTAATTATTTAGTTTCGACCAATGAACACGTGGAATACCAAAAATCGACGCTTAAAGTTACTTCAAAATGTAATCCTAATAATATAGTCATTAACAATATAGTCATCCTAATAACGTTCAGTTTGTTCGAGTACATTATAATAAAAATGATATTTGAGAATTGATAAAAAATTAATGTCACTCAACGTGCTAATTAAAATTTTTCCATGTTTCATTAAAATCTATAGATCTATATATCAGATATCTATATATCTACATATCTATATCATGCAGAATCTAAAACCTATATAAAAATGTTGAAAAAAGTTGAGAAATGAAATTGTAAATAATCTTTCGTACCCGTTTCACGTTCGTGCGTGAAACCATTTTTAGACGTCTTGACTAAGGTTTTGATAGGTTTTTCGATTGAATTGAATAATTGCAAAGCTTAATAAAGAATGCAGTTCAATGTTTTCATCGAAAATAAATGCTAATAATACCACGACGAAGCGATATTTTATAATTATCTGGTGCGAGCGAGATCAATTTAAGCGTTTCATTTTATTCGAAGATATGAAATGCGCTAAATCTTGCAGTAGAACGTTGATTTCATAAGATTTTGATTTCTCGGTATTTGTAAACAATACCCAATCCCACGATCGATGCGCAAATTCAAAGTCCGAAGGTGATTCAGGAACACGAGTGGCAACTCGAACATGGACATTTTGTCGGCAAACTACATATCTACGTTGCGAGCAATTTGCCATTAGCCCTTCTGCGTTGCGACCACAGGGCATACTATGCGTGATGAAAAAATAAGCGGAAACAGACGGGGGAGATTTTTATTTTCCGAGAGAAGGAATACAAATTCACCGGCTGCATGCGTTTACTATTTTATGAACAAAATCGTTCACGTCCTGAGCCTTTCACTACCACCGACTAAGATCGCCACATTTTATTTTACGTTGATCGAGATGTCATTGTCTGAGTAGTTTAACAGTAAACAATTGGCATGATCAAATTCATTATCTGATTCGAAAAAAGGTATGCACAGCATTAAAATTAATTCTTTCTCGAAGGCTGAGTTGGACGAGAATTAATAATACACATTACACGTTCCTTGAGGTTCGCGTATAATGTACAAGAACGTTGCGTTTGTCGTTAATTTAATAATTGCACAATGAAATTTGAATATCACCTGGATCCACGTTTGATAATTTATTTTAACGATTAAAGTTCGAAGGCGTCCTCGATATTCTGCTGTTTTCATTGATCTCTTTAAAAAGTAAAATACAAAGATTGACTGTACGCTATAATGAACATCATTTGCATCGATGAAAAATTCATTTACAACGAACGTAATAGTTTGCGCTACAAAAAGCTGAGTTTTAAATAATCTACAATTACTCCATACATATTCATTATCATCAATAAACATAATTCGTCCATTAACTTTGCGCGCACTTATTATTTATAGAATTGGCTGCATTAGCAATTTGAATTGTTTACGGAATTTGTTGACGATCTTCACGTAATTTCCAATCAACAATTCCTGTCTGAAATCACAATGTGGATAATTAATTTAGCACAATTTATGTAGAATTCTATTTCTCCCCCATTACAAGAGCTCGTGGCCCACTTATCTCAACCAAACGCGTAGAAAACGATCTAATCATTTATCATCGTCGCTATGTCATCTTTTACTAGCATCCACCTAGACCCCCCATAGTCGCTTCCGGATGTCTAATCAGCGGGACCACGAAATTCCTCAGCGTCGAAACTCTATCATTAATCCTTCGGCGGACTGATCCAAACCAGGAACAAGTTCGTTTGACATGTTCAGTTAGCCCTCTGTAGACAGTGCTTGCTAATGAGGTTTTTTAATACCCGAATAACTCCAAAAACGTCTAAGGCAGCTTTTCTATCAGGAGCCAAGCAAGATCTTATTAACTCCTTGCACTACGATCTCATTCATAGTTGCGTTGATTAGAACATCTTCGTCCTTAATCATTTCCTTTACACTTCGACTGTCGCGCCAACAACCTCAAAATAAAGTGTTTGATTTAATCAAATTGAAATTAAAGAATAAAGTTGCAAGACATCAATTACTTTCTCAATATTTTTACGGTTTGAGGATCCCAATGAATATAAGGAGATCTAAATAGGTTAGCGTGAATACTAATTTTCAAATCTGTGGAAATAATTCAGATTTTGATAACAAGAGAATTAAATTTTGTTTCAATTTTGCACATAAATGAATAACATTCATGCATAGACCAGATTACACTGGTCTACAAAATTTGGCTCATTTTTCGATACACAATGTTTAATGTGTAATCTTAATAGTATTTTTTACTCTGAATCCAAATATACAATCACGCAGTTTAATATTTGATAATTACTATAATCCTATATATACAATAAATTCTCAAGGTGTAAAACATTACCTAAAATGTGCTATTTGTTGATTTTCTGTAACATTTGTCGTCTGGAACATCCCATTCGCGTGCCCAGCAGAAATATCAGCCAACATATTAACACTCTATTTGCAAACAAATATAAAACTCCTGTTTCATTTGAAACAGCGAGTTTCAGTGATTCGAAGTGGAATTTCATCGAAACCGTACGCGATAGGAAAAAATGGCTAGCAAAAATATTTTCTGTAACAAAAATCCCGTTTACCAATTGACGACAAGAACCACGCCGCTTGCAAATTCAAAATGATCTCTTCTATACGTATATCAATTAGCACATAATGGCTCCTAATGGATGCACCGGTCAGACTCATTGTATGCGAAGATGCGAAAAATCCGAGTTTGCTCAGTTTCGTCACGGTTGTAGATCTGAAACGTTAATGTGTTCCAGCTGAAGCTAGACTACTTAGCCCTCGCGTCAATGACTATACATACGTGTCCAGAAAGACCAAGCTAACTGCTTGCCGACCAGTGAAACGCACATAAACGCGGTAGATAAACGTAAGGGAGCATTGATCGTCCGTTGCTCCTCCATTCACGAAGTTGGCGGTTATGGCTGTACTTATGTGCTTAGGTGCACATACACCGACTGTGTACACGTTTGGACACACGCGATGCGATTACTCGCGCGTATGGCCGGCGTGCGCGTGTACGTACACAGGCTTACACGAGCGTGTGTGCGAGCACGTGCGAGCGTGTAGGAGCGTGTGCGCGGCGAACGGGTGCGTGTGTTCAGCCCCAACATAGGCGCCAGCGAGTCTTGCTACGGCCATGCGTGGTCACGGCACATGCACGGTAGAATCGTTTCGGGGTCGGGAGAATAGCCCTGACCTTCCTCAAGCCCGCGCCCGTAACTCGCGATAAAACGAAAGGACGATGACGTCACTGGTCCTAGCATGTCACGCCGCGGCGGATCGTTCAGAGGCTTCGCGTTTTTCGCTCCTGAGGAATTTTCTACTCCTTCGATCCACCCGCTTTCTTCCGAGACTGTTCACCCCTGCCCGTATTATTTTTCTCACTGCTGCAACGACTACAGCTTCACTGTACTCGACAGGGTAACACGCCAAGAAAAATAAACTTCCTTCAAAATTGTGTCACTTTATTGTTCTTCAATATTTCTTAAGGTAATTTAATGAATTAAGTTGAAACTGGGAAGTTAAAATTGATCGTAGTGGATTGTGGTTTAACTCTTTTTCATACTAAATATCCTAGACAAAATCAATTTGCTCGAATATATTAATTAATTAATTAATAATATAAATTAGTGTTACTCAAATGTAAACACACAAAATCAGAACAACTCGCTTAACCCAGTGTTAATAAAATGAGGTATCACGTACATTTCACATTTTAAATTGATTGTAAGCTTTTAATCAATCCCTGTGCCAGGTTTATACAACATTTTTAATTGCCATCTTATTCGAGTGAGATTAATTGAATATGTTTGGTTTGAATTAATGAGCGTTTACTTGCTTTTGTATTTTCAAGGTAAAAGTTTGCGCTGCACCAGCACAAAATGTCCAAAGATATCGATTTTTGTGAAGTACGTGGTATAACATCGTTTCAAAGAGAGTTGCAACTGTATATTGCAAGCACGCCGATATTCGCTCGAAAATAATCGTGTCATAGATAATGGAGGTCGTTAAACCATACAATATTTTCCTGCAAAACTTCCATGCCAACTTCGAACAAAGCTATAACTTGGCTGACAGTTTCTGGAATTGCTATGTACATGGTCTAATTTGCAACACTTTATGCTTGAACAGTTAACACACGTCACCATTCCGATATCAACGAATGTTTCCCGCAAATATTAAAAAAGAGAGGCGTTTTAAACTGGTAATTAAAAAAGAGATGCATTAACCGGTGACGTCGAGTTATAAATTTGTATAATCTCATAAAATGCAGCGATTTGAATGAAACATGAAAGACCGTACTAATCTGGAAGACCATAGTATCTATTATTTAATAAAGTAAAGATAGAGTCTAATATTTATAGAGATAAGATAGAACGATTCAATGTCAGAAAAATAATCGAATGTTACTCAGACAGAATGGGTGCCCCATTGGGTGCCTCTGTCGGCGTTGATCACACGTAGTTTCAGCACTGCTGCATCGAGACAAGCGAGCGAGACCACGCGGCGGCAAAACGCTGTGTACGTGTTGCCGACAGATATTTTCTCGACCTATAGTGATTTATAACCGCTTCGACACTTTTTCTCGATAGTTTCATCTTCCGAAATCTTTGCAGAATCAGATGTCGTAGTCAGTTTTCTCCTTAGGTAAACAACTTCTCGTAAATATGCAAAAATATTGCGTAGAAAATACGTGCTCCGGCGTTTTTGAAGGTTTGACGGTCATTTGATATCATCTACGAGCATAAGTTATTATAAATATCGATACCGACATATTCAGGAACCTTTTCTCTATCTTTTAGGCCAATGCTAAAAATCGCACACTTTTGCAAAAGCTCGTGTTTTTCGAAAACTGGGGTTGATACAGCAATTCCGTTTTCGGAT